TCTCTCTCTCTCTCTCTCTCTCTCTCTCTCTCTCTCTCTCTCTCTCTCTCTCTCTCTCTCTCTCTCTCTCTCTCTCTCTCTCTCTCCCCCCCCATTTCTTCTCTTTCTCTTTCTGTTTGTCTCTTCCGTCTATGTCCAAAGAGCCTGGGCTATGCCCGTCAARSACTCCTGTCCCTTTYGGTACGCAATGGGAGTGTTTTTTGTTCTCTGAGGATCTGGTCGAAATGGAGGATCAGTGAAAAGTACTTTAGGACATACTCCATTACCCGCTCTCCATGCGTCGGCAATCACGAGCCGCATGACCAAAKTGGGACTYTCTTCCTCTTCCTCTCGCTCTAATGTTGCTGCTCTCTCTCTCTCCCTCTCCCCCTTGATTCTTTTTKATGTCGCCATGCGAGGGGATTTGACGATGGAGGTGGCACGTCTACTTGTATGTCTGTGTATATTTCGTTCTGTGGTGTGGATGGTTATTTTCGTAGGCTCTGCTTAATGCGTCGTCATTGGGATCGTAGGGAAGTGCGTGAGGATACTTGTGCCCTGAAGAATGGATATGGAGCTACTTGCTGTCGCACACGTGCTGCTGATCTTCCTGATCGCGTTCATGTCWTACCTTGCCTTCTTGTCATTCGTTGATCTGCAAATGGCTCGAACGATTCCTTRTGCTCAGAACATGTCGCCCGTAACCGCTAGACGATGCTGGGCGCCTTGATGAAGCTTGACGAGACGGCGTGAAGATCGCCATCTTTGTACGACAACATTGATAGGGGGCAGAGAGTGCATTCCTTGCTGGGGGGTTCTCGTGGGGTTCGGCCGAAGGGTTGTTTGAAATGGGGATGATGTTTTCCTCCCGTTGCTCTCTCCACCCCCCCTCCCTTCACCTCCTCATCCTCCTGCTCTTCCTTGCTGCCCTCTGTTCGTCCCTCTCTGCTTACTTACTAGCATGGGAGGCATGGTCTTCATGTTGGCACCCACCCCTTTCGTGCCCGGCGCACGAACTCAGGCATCGGTCTTCATGCGCGATGATGCTAGGCGGCTTGGCTTGCTGGCTTTTGATGCACGAGTTCGCCGTGCTCGTATGGGTCGCGATACTGTCCTGGCGGCAGACCCCTCGAGTAGCCTGTTTCTTGTATTAATGCTGGCTTCCGAGGTGGGAAAAGTTTGGGTGATCTATTGATCTTCGGCCATTGCTTTCGATATTCTCTTATGGAATGTGCAGTTTATGGGGAGATTTGATGAAGCTGCACTGATGGGGATGAGCGTTATTACTTAGGGTGTATGTGCACGGGCTTTCTACACAATCGGGATGGTAGTACGTCTYTGCTGGTGCATATTGTTTTCTGCAGATCTTRACTGAGTATGATCGGGCTGTACCGTGGTGCACTTGAAGGAAGAGAGTCACTACGAGGAGGATCGACGCCACTAGTCGAGGGGACCKGGGTAGCACTAGGATCGTAGTTATAATGAGCACATCTATCATACAGCTAGTCTTACCAACAAGGGTAGRACGGGATGAGGAATGTTATTTGATGATGTTGTATTCATGAGTGGTTCGGGTTGGCGTATGGTTTGACAACCAATCAGGAAGGAGTCCTGCGGCCTAACCCATGATATGCCTGACAAGACGAGATGGGAGAGGCAGATTTGCGATAGCTCGGGTCTGTGTTGTGTATGTATGCGGTACAGGAGCGTAGGTCGTGAGAATCAAGGGTGTTGAAGGATGAGATGTCGGATGAGATGGCTTCAACGGATCATTTGGTAAGGATACTCTGCAAATCCACATTGACCGGATGCGATCGGATCGTGGTTCAAAGCTTCGGGGATTGGGGTTGTGATAACTCCCCTCACTGTTGATGTAACCAAACATGATGCTAAGATCTCGGTCACGACAGTTTCATCCGTCATTCGGCTGATTCTTGTCTTCCGACCCTGGGTCCTGCCGATGAGGGAGGACGGAATGAAAGATGTCATTGCATAGTATTGTGGGTAACTCGAGTGAAGAGATCTTTCCTAGGCTTGGTTTAAGGGATAGCTGCTGACCGAGATGGAATGCTGTGTTCTCACCGTGGGTCTCGCCGATGGAGTATGATGACGTAATGAGGCATCRCATTGGTTTGGAGCGAGGTTGTGCTTGGACTAAAGGATTTTTTGCTCTTCACTCTACTGTGCCACGAGACTACGAGAGATGCACTTTGAGAATGGCTTCGCTTAGTGCTTACATGTAGCTGGGCAGGAATGGGCTACGCTCTTTGATACGCAAGTCCAGAGTAAGGAGTTGAGGAAGCTTCCCATATGGGATATCCGCGGTCGAAATGGAGGAGATGGTATCAGTTTGTGTTAGGATAAAGAATAAGGGGGGGTGGGGAGTGAGAAATGATGYTGACGACTATGGGTCGTCATACGTATGCATATATATGTACCTATATACTAGGTATATGCATATATATGTGTGTGTATGAATATTTTTTCGGTCCCAAAGCTGGCAGGATAGACTAGCCTCRATACGGTTTCAATGAGTGGATAATCAATTGGTTTTCCGGAATAAAGAGCTTCATTCTCACGAAGGAATTTTTTGGAAACATTCGCAAGCATGAAGCATAGTCGTTCTCTTCTTTGTGTTCGACTGGAACTGCACGCATATGTTGACTCGCTCCGTGGTTGTTCCTCGCTATGAGAGCGACGCATGGATAATCGATCGGTGTTTTCCGCACGAGAACCCCGTTGCGTAACTGTTGGCCTCTGATTGATTGATTKAGGCAGTTCGCATATAGAACGCTCAGTTTATGAATGACCACTGATTCCGTCTCATACGTTTGCGCATATGGATATGTATATGTATCTATATGATATGTACACATATGTATATACGTGTATGTGTGAACGTTTTTTCGGTCTCAGGGCTGGCGGGATAGACTAGCCTTGCTACGGTATCGGTGAATGGATAATCGATCGATGTTTTCCGCAAAAAAACTCCGTGCTCACGGATGATTGTTTCAGACACATTCGGGAAGTTGAAGCGGAGCTGTTGGCTTTTGTATGTTCGGCTGAATCAATGCGCATATGGAGTGCTGTTTTTTTTCTCGAATATCCTCTATTCCATGTGCTTACTCGCTCTTTGATTGTTCCTCACTTTGGGAGTGATGAATGGATGATCGGTCCGTGTTGTTGGCAAGAATGCACTGTTCTCTCGAAACGAATTCTTGAAAGCATTCAGGAACTTGGAGCGTAACGGTTAACTTCTGTTTACTTGAATTGGTTGGTGTAGTATGCATTAGAGAACTCAATTGGTTGAATACCCACTGTTCCGTGTGCTGGCTCGTTCCATGTATGATCAGAATGATGATGTTTGCTAGGAAACGAAATCTCCCGAGGATGAGAGTTGAGGGATACATCTGATGACTAGCTCTGTGCCCATGATGTGTGGTGTGAAGTGTCTTCCTATGCCACTTGCCGCTCCTGTTGAATGTATGTTTCTCGCACGAGTTTTGACGCATCATGCCGCGGCGCAGCTGTGGGAGTAACGTATCCGTAAACACACGCAGAGCTTTGCTCTTTGTACTTGCTCTGGGGTCAGATTCCTCTTCGCCATGATTGTAGTTTCTTGCATGCTTCCCCAACGTTTTCGGAGCTCACGTTTGGTTTCTGTGAAGCACCCTCCCGGGCTGTCTTGTGGGAAGAAGTTTTTTCGTTGGAAGTTCTCCCCGTTTGTATTTGTTCCCCCTCAGACAATGTCCACCAATTGCGTCCTCCTCTTGACATATTGTTGGTCGCCATGTGTACAGGTTTCCTTGTTCTTGGAGAATGGTTGGTATACCGACCTCTTGGTGCAAGAGAATGGATGGCTTGACTCGTTCCCTGCGCCGTCCCGTCCTGCGCAGGCCCTTATCTCCCTTGCCCCAACCAGGATCATGGAGTTTGTACGTGTCCATTCGGTTGATGCTTCAACTCCCCTGATCTCCATTCTCTCTTTCGACCAATGGGCTGATCTATTATGGACAGCCTCTCACGACAAACCAGCCTTTCTTAGACTCACTGAGTATCTCGTGACGCAATCCTGCAATATCGTGGCGGAGGATAGGCTGGTGGACGATTGCATGAGTGATAACCTAGCTATGAAAGAGAAGGTGTTCGTAGATCTATGGGGTGCTGAGTCCAATTTTCATGCTGGGTTGATCCAGAAGTACCCGGATGTCCCTGCCGACCTTTCTCGGTCTGATTCTGAGGAGGGAGATCTCTCACTCACAGAGGAGGAGAAGCTATACCATGCTAAACTAATAGCCAGTGGAAAGAAGGAGCAAGTGAGGGTTATCGCTGCGAACCAAAGAATGGAAGTCAATAGGTTAGCTCGCAATGCTTTCTTACCCATGGTACCCCCTAGATGGGTAGAGTCTCAGTCGAGGGTGGTAGATGACAAGTTGTGGGATCTCCTTACGTTCAACTATGTTGCGCCCATCCATGTTGACTCCTACCGCTTTCTTGCGTCCCTCTCCGAACAAGAGTTACTGAAATGCAACGAGAAGGCATTGATGGAGAACACAGAGATTTGTAGAGGTGATTATCCGCTCACCGCCGAGAACATGAATCTCCCAGTGGTAGGCAATTTTGACCGCACTAAATGCACTGTATCCAGCACTCCACTCTCCGTCAGGGGTTTTATGGGCCCCAGGGTTCAGACGGCGACAGCAAAACTGAAACGCATCTGGAACGTCGGTAGACCGTATCTCAAATGCCGCTGCATTGAGGGGGGCAAGGGGGATTGCGGTAAGAACATCACATGGTTTGACCATGTGCTGTGGACCTGTGGTACCTTCTCTCTGACCTGCATTATCTGTTTCCGGAGGCTCCGTCGTTAAAAGCGCGCGCTCGTGCCGATCCTCGCCTCTGTGGTATTCTTCCACATGCGGGAGATAATGGTCAAGATGACCCATAGCGTTACGATAGATCCCCCCAGGACCCCGCAAAGCATCTTGGATGATCCGACGATCATGCTGCACAAGTTTCCGAGAACCATGGCAAAGCTCATTCTCCCATCGAGATACGTTCGTTCTTCCGAAAAGAGGCGGAAGGAGTCCTCCTCCTCTAGTGCTGCTACGAAGAAGGCGAGGAAGGGTCAGCAGACCACCCTGCAGTTCTATGTTGCGCCTGCCCAGGAACACGCTTCCGTGACAATAATCAGCACTCCCCCTACGTCTACATTGACTGATCAGGAGGACGGCCAGGCCTCCGCATCCAACATAATGGTCAGGAGAAGTCCGAGGGAGAAGGCGTCCGCCAAAACCATCTTATTTGGGGCTTGACTACCTGTTTGATCCATGGTTGGCCCTGTCTGTTGTGCAGGATGGAGAGGGCTTCATGACTCGTGAACCTTCCAGAAGGAGGAGATGGCAGAAGGCACCTCCCAACGAAAACATTTTTTTTGTACATATGGTGTACACCAGCAGAATAATGGAGGGGGTGCTGTTCATATCTATCCTTGAGAATGTTGTCGACAAGTTTTTCCCTCCCTGTGGCTGAGAGTTGTTGTCGTCGATCGTCATCGGATGGACATATATGAATTCTTTGGATTCGATTGTATACAAACCTGCTGAGGTCTTTCGAGATTTTGTCCTCGATGAATGGATTGGTTTTTGTGCAGGCTTCTCGACTTGCTTGTGTGCTACCAAACGATTCATGCCCTTTCATCACCCCTGTACACGGGAAATGACCCAACCCTTCTCCACCCCCTCCACCCATGTCCTCTCACTTGATCCGTCTATCTCTTCCCTCCCTAGACTCACCAATCTCTTCTCTCAAGGCCTGAATCACATCCCATTCCACCCACGGAACACGCATGTTGTTTTACAAGAGTATTTGAAGGCATGGAAGACTATCGTTGGGTTTATGTGTGGTCGCATGCTCATTACAAAGGGAATGCAACTCATAGCCTCCTCATTTGTCTCTCAGAAACTCAGGGCCCAGCTAGGGTGTGAGGATCCGAGGGGATACAATGACCCGCCGTGTGAACTTGCTATGTATGCGGTCAAAAGGGAGGTTGAGTTCTTAACCAAACGCTTGTTTATTGCTGGTATGGATAAGTCGGTCAATACCCCGTCATTCGTCTGCGTACACTTGGTGAGGAGGCTTACGCTGGAGCGACTAAATAGTAATGACTTTGAATCTATCTCGCTCACTGCCGATGCGGTGTTCGAGGAAGCACGTGATTCTCTAGCCTCACTTTTCCCCACATTGTCAATTGGCCCAAAGAAACTACCCTACCTCATGGGCCTCTATAAACATCACAAGTTGACGTTTAGGTGGCTTACGAACGCCTCCTCTTGTTTTCTGACAACAATGGCTTGCCTGTGCGATGCGGTTCTTAAATGTTTAACCCCCGCTGTCATGGCTAGGTGCAAAGTCATCACTGATGGTCTCCTGCGTTTCCACGGGGTAGAAACCTCCATCTGGTGGGCTATCGAGTCAATCCAGGATTATTGTTACTATCTGCCTGACAAGGTATTCTGTGCCTTCGCTGGCGACATTACCAGATGCTTCGAAACGATCCCGATTGACTCATCTGATGACAGCCTCATTTCCGCTGTTGCTTTCTTTGTAAAAATGACCTTCAAGAATGCTCCTGGTCGCCGGACAGGAGTGTTGGTAAAATGCAAATTCTCCCGCAATGGGCAGGTCACATGTTTTTTGGTGGATACTGAGAAACGGCCTCCTTCACCTCTCATCTTGTGGCTGGACTGCGCGGAGGTGATTCAGATTACTAGGTGGGTAGTGGGCAGGTGCTTTACTTCGTTCGGCGGTAGGATCTGGAGGCAGACTTTGGGGATTCCAATGGGATTGCCCTGTTCACCAATCTGGTGCACCATCTATTTTTTCAAATACGAAGACTCCCTGATTATGCGGCTGACCGATCGGAGGGCAGCTCACCTACTTCCCCTCTTTAAGCACACCTTCAGATACATTGACGATCTTCACTCGTTGAACAATCCGTCAATTCTGAGGTTTTTGAGGGACCCCTCTCTGAACGAGGACCCGCACCTCTTCTCCTTATACCCAAGGGAACTCATTGAGGTCAAAAACCAAACTGAGATATTTCACCTCGCTGACTCGGGAGAAATCTATGGTTTCAAAACCCAGTTTCTCAATGCAGAAATCTGCATCTCATCGGCCACCCTGGGCATATTTTCCACCACTAGGTTTGATAAACGGTTGTCACTCAGCTTCCCCGTTGTCAGGTATGTGAAATACGCTTCTAATAGGCCCATTCAGCAGTCTTTGAACCTCATCATGGCTCAGGTAGACTCCATCCTGGTTATCTGTTCTCATCCTCGTGATGCATCTGGGGAGATTTTGAGGGTTGTATCTTACATAGTGGACAATGGATTCCCCATCCAAAGGTGCGTAATGTCTGTGAACAGGGTCCTTAACTCCCCGCAGAATTTTCTCCATGCCAGGGTGGCGATTTTGGATACTATTCGAGAGTTCAAGGTGAGTTGTCCACTTTTCCACTTTTCCACTTTTCCACGTTTCCACTTCCCCACTTCGTCATGTTTTGACTCTCTCTTTTTTTAATATTAAGATGTTGAACCATTTTTTTGTACTAACCATACGATGACGTCTCGAGAATTTCATTCTGCCTGTGCGCCAGATCACTCCCTAACCATTGGTGAAACGGCGCTGTCAGAAAATCTTTGTAATGTTCATTCGTTGTCTTATCACTGGTGTGGTGTTGTGTGTGTTCTTAGCTATGTCCCCGACCAGCAGGGCGTCTGAGGCAGCTAGCAGGTACCTTGCTTAAGGCAGGTACCTGTTACCTATCTTAAATGAGCTACCTGCAAGCGGGGAAGGGGTGGGTCACACACACACACACACACACACACACACACACACACACACACACACACACACACACACACACACACACACACACACACACAACTACTATTAGTGGCATGTAAATGGATGGACCATTGGTATGCGTACATAAACATAGAAAAACTGCATCCTCGGGGGCCTGTGAGTGACAGACAAGAACCCTCCCTTGACCCCATGAAGGGGCTGGTTTTTTTCCACCCCCCCTGGTTCTATTTTTTTAGGAGAACGCCGAAGGCCGGCTCTACCAAACTAACGGCCTCCCGGGGGTAATGGGTCTCGCTAGAAAGACCTGAGAGACCTTCCGCCTATGAGAGAACTAGGATTCGATCCTTTGAAAAAACTGCCCCGCCAAAACGGATGACCAATCGAAAGGGATGACCTGCCYGGTAGGGGTATGGGAGATTGTCCCCCTGTTAGAAAGTAGGTTCCSATGCCACCAGACRACGGAACTGCTGAATGGGTGACTGTGCGGGTACCAGGACTGTATATAACACAACCAACCTACAATCCTCACCCTCTTGCTTTCCCGCACCGCAGTTCCMGCCTCCAGTATTYRAGAGAGCRCTGGTTGCGTGACCTGCGCGTGCRTTTGCCTAYGCTGTCGCTATGGGAATCTGCGTTGGGCTTGCTCCTTGATTATGCTCCCCRACGCTCCCYGACGGACACTCATCAAAACGCCTGCTGCGTTCAACCAGCRCCATTCTCGTGGTTCTGCACWCTGCCTYTCCGCTCATGATGCCCGCTTGATCGGCGCTAGTGCACAGGATCACCCTTTCCATGCCAGCARAGTCCTGGTTCARGACGGGTGTTTGCCTACGAGGATTGTTACRCGAACTACCTRATTGGTTTGTCGTGAGAGATRACGCCAGGAGCGGTAAAGATTTCATCATCTTTTTGTGCCCACCACCCACCCCCAAACCCCCACCCTTTGCGATGTACTTACC